GGGGGCGGGGGTCGGGTAGCCCCGCGGCGGGGGTCTGGGAGTGAAACCCCTATTTACAGTAGCTTCGCTCAACTGTCGGGCGGAAGGCCATTGAAGCCTCGTTTCAGGGGCTCTGTTTTCCCCAGTCTGATGCAGGGCCTTGAGGCCGGTTTGTACCCCGCGGGTGGCCCCCTTTGGCCGACGACATAGGCATATTTGAGCAGGTTATTACACTCCTAACGGCCCAATTTTCGAGTTCCATCGCAGAAATTCTTTAGACTTAGTTCTCTTTTAATCCACGCTCATATGCATATACAATATGAAGAGCAGTAGGTAAAAGTTGAGTGGGGATCCGGGCTGCCCAGGTGCCCAGCAGGGGCCCGGGGGAGGTCCCGGGCGGCCTGGCCGGGCAAGGCACCCGGTTGGGGGCCGGGTCCCCCCAGCGCAGTTTTTTTTTTTTTTTGACCTGTCGGTGTGTGTGTATGTGTGTGTGTGTGTGTGTGTGTGTGTGTGTGTGTGTGTGTGATGATGTGTGTGAACACATATCGCGGACGCCTCTCCACAGTATACAGACCATGCACCATACCACCGCAACACTTCAGGAGGAGAATACGCATCTGAGTGGAGCAAGGAAGTAAGAACAACGAAACACACAGGCCACAGACCGCAAGACAACACATAGGCTGGAGGGCACGGGGGAGGAGGGAGGGCAAGCAACCCACAAGCAACCGATACAGCAGGAAAAACAAAAAAACAAAAAAAAAGCAAGCGCTAGAAGGCACGAAGGATATAAGACAGCAGACAACAACAAGCACACAAGGCAGGCAAACCAGAAAAAAATAAAGTCCATAAAGGTTTCAAGGACCGAAAAAAAATAAAAATAAAAATAATAACTGATGATGACAAGATTGTTTTGTCGGAATTGCACCGACTCATCAGGAGGCTGAACCCTCGACAATCTGTGGGAATCTCCGTATTAGATGGTTTGGGTCATGAACCCTTTGACCCTTGTTGAAGGCAGACTGTCTCCAAGTGGAACACAGCAGCGGGCGGCGACCCTGTGGAGCACCAGGCAGCACAGTAGAGGCAACACGACTGCACAACGCCAAAAACGACTGCAAAGAAGACATGGCGCGCAGCGCGGAAACACAGAAGGCACGACCAGCGAGTGGGCAGCAAGGCAGCGGAGCAGCGAAGCGCAAGGCAACACCGACAACACAGCCACACTACACAGTGAACACAGCAACTTGCAGAGAGCAACATGCAAAGCAAGCGGGACAGGCAGCAAGGCGGCGGTGGTGCGCAGACGAGGCAGTCCACACATCCAACACGGAGCAAAGCAGCGCATGACCTACTCACATCACGGTTGATCCCTACATACTGTTGGTTCCCACCACCCACTGAGCCAGGGAGTTACTCCGACGAGCATCCGTCATCACCTACAGGCAACACAGACAACCCGAACTGAGTGGCCCCCCTAAGAGTACAGTAGGCACTCCAAACGAGGAACCACCGACTGTTTGGCACTGCTTAAGGGTGCTCAGTTTGGTTAACAAAAACACTTAGTAAAGATTAGGGGGAGAGCAGACAACAACAAGAAAACAGACAAACAAACAACTGATTGTGTGTGTGTGTGTGTGTGTGTGTGTGAGAGAGAGAGAGAGAGAGAGAGAGAGAGAGAGAGAGGTTCGAATGTGGATCGATATTGGCCATATTCAGCTGATTATGCTGCTGTAGAACTCGAAGATTTCCTGCAAGTTGCCAGTCTGTAAGTCTTCTTCTTCTTCTTCTCCATCTTATCAGTCTTCTTCTTCTTCTTCTTCTCGTCAGTCTTCTTCATTTTTTGTCAGTCTTGTTCTTCTCCAGAATGAAAGGGTCGATAACATGCATGCAGCAGACATCAGAGCGGCAGCAAGCACGCACACACAGACTTAGAAACTCAACAGAAAGCGGGAATCTCAGCAAGGCATTCATTCTAGCGGCAAAACTCATAAATCAGTTGTGTTCTCACTCTGTGTTTTGGCAGGTCCTTACACTACACCCCCCTCAAGAGCGAGGTCCCTTCGAGCAACTCAATCTGAGTCCGTCACACATCATAAGCAAACATAGCGAAGAGATTTCGTTATACTTAGTAGCAGTGAGTTTTGCTGAGATTTTGGAACAGTCTTAGAAACTATTTGTCATTCATATGCTTTGACAACGCGATGTGCGCTCTGCAGCAGCTCGTTCTTTAAGATCCAGTAGCGATCATCCAACAGGTGATACATGAAGGGAACCTGGCACTGTCGGCTACATCCCTTACCATTGTGATTTGTAATTCTGTCTATTTCGCGACCGCCATTGATTGCACAAGGGATCATAGGCTCACGATAGTCTAAGGATTTAGCATCAAGTCATGGAAACAGTTTAGACGCATGAAAGACCGGGTGTGTGCGCAGATGGGGAGGCACAACAATCACATATGAAGGACCGAAGTCGTCCTCACCAACCACATTCAGAACTTCCCACGAACCATAGTAGAGAGGGAGAAGTTTGCATGACACCCCCTCGTCTTCCTTAAATTCAGACATCTTGACCCAGACATAGCTTCCTA